CAGTGGTTTTACCCCACTTTTTTCAAGTTAGCTTTTAGCTAGGAAGCTGTAACTCACAGGGTACTTTCAGACCTTTAGTCTGTAAGTGGATTTAAGGTATCAGCATTCTAGCTTCTTCCTAGCCAAAGCTAGAGGCCGAAAAGTGTTGCATTTCAGCTACGAAAATCAAAATGACAATTTTCAGTGGTTTTACCCCACTTTTTTCAAGTTAGCTTTTAGCTAGGAAGCTGTCACTCACAGGGTATTCTCAGACCATCAGTCTGTAAGTTCAGTTAAGGTATCAGCACTCTAGCTTCTTCCTAGACAAAGCTAGAGGCCGAAAAGTGTTGCATTTCAGCTACGAACTTAATCAAAATGACAGTTTTTAGTGGTTTTACCCCACTTTTTTCAAGTTAGCTTTATGCTACAAGGCTGTAACTCACAGGGTACTTTCAGTCCTTTAGTCTGTAAGTGCAGTTAAGGTATCAGCCCTGTAGCTACTTCCTAGCCAAAGCTAGAAGCCGAAAAGTTTTGCATTTCAGCCACGAACTAAAATCTAATGACAGTTTGTAGTATCAGTACGCCACTTATACCAAGTTAACTTTGAGCTAGAACGCTGTCACTCGCAGGGTACTCTCAGACTAATAGACCTTAAGTCCTCTGAGCATTTCAGCCCTGTAGCTACTTCCTAGCCAAAGCTAGAGGCCGAAAAGTGTTGCATTTCAGCTACGAACTTAAAGTGTGAAGACAGTTTGTAGTACTAATATGCCTCTTTTACCAAGTTAGCTTTGAGCTAGAAAGCTGTTACTTGCAAGGTTCTCTCAGACTCATAGACCTTAAGTCTTCTGAGCATTTCAGCCCTGTAGTTACTTCCTAGCCAAAGCTAGAAGCTAAAACGTGTTGCATTTTAGTCTCAAACACTTAGTGTTACCACAGATATTAGTACTTTTACTCGGTGTATGAGTAATTTATCTGGGCGAGCTTGGTATCGTTGGAAAGGGTTTTTCGAGACGAAAACAATGAGTCTAAGCAATCTTAGATAGGTAATTCCTTCGCGCTGTGACAATGCAAAGAATGAAGACATGCATTATGATGTTTTTTTTCACTTTATTAGGAAACTGATACTTAAATTGAAACTCCACCCACCTGCTTCCAGAAGGATCAGACCTCATTTTCACTACAGAGGTCAAGAGAGCAACATGTGAGTACCTTTCCAGGCCTATTTTTTGATGTTTAAGCCTTCCTGTACCTAGACCACCTGGATTTTAAAAGGTTTTGCATGTTTTGCTCAGTTTTTGATGTAGTCCACCTGGGTCTTAACTGTTTTTGCAGTTTTTGCTTACTTTTAGATGTGGTCCACCTGGATTTTAACAGTTTTTGCAGGTTTTGCTTGGTTTTTGATGTGGTCCACCTGGATTTTAACAGTTTTTGCAGGTTTTGCTTGGTTTTTGACGTGGTCCACCTGGATTTTAACAGTTTTTGCAGGTTTTGCTTGGTTTTTGACCTGGTCCACCTAGATTTTAACAGTTTTTGCAGGTTTTGCTTGGTTTTTGACCTGGTCCACCTAGATTTTAACAGCTTTTGCAGGTTTTGCTTGGTTTATAGCTGGGGTTTATAGCTGAACAGTTTTACCTGTTTACACATTTAAARTGCAAACACTTACAGTTGTCTGTTTCATCTTTTTTTTTTACAGAAACAATGACTTGGAGATGCCCCATCTGCTTTGGAGAGCTGGTCAATTTGACCGTACATCTAAAAAATAAGCATAATGTGCAGAATCTGACAGAAAGGAGAATACTGTCCACATGGGCAATGGGTCGTATTAACATCCGAACCTGCCCATGCCCAGCAATAGGCTGTGACTATCAATTTGGCTGTCACCTTAACAGGCACTTGTCAGAATTTCACACTGAACTTTCTGAACAGCAAAGGTTTTGCCTGTTAACAAGAGTCCGCACCAACAAAATTATCGAGCTCTTAGCTGAGCTCAGAGCAAGTGAGCCAGACCAACCAATGGTGACTACCTTTGACTTGGATGGTGTTCCACTACGAGACATTGAGCAGCCCTATTACGACTCCCGCTCCAGCTCGTGCACAAATCCTGAGTGTGCTTCAATGTTCATAGGGTAAGCATTTTTTGTTTTTGATGTCATCTGATTTGTTTACACACAGTCTAACCAGGTATTATTTGATACTTTTTACAGCCTACAGTCACAGGTGAAGCATCTTGAAGAAAGGATTGCCCAGCTTTTAAGGGCTTTGAAGGTTGCTAAACGCGTGGCTGCAGGATTAAAGTCAGAAATTAGAAGGCGGGGGTATCAGGAGGTGGGTGATTGATAGGATCTATGTTTTCCAGCATTGCCTTTTAGGGTGAGATGATAGTCAGTATGGCCTTTGTTGTTTGTCTGTGACAGGAGCCGGAAAAAAGAAGATGGGCCCGGGGAAAGGAAATACAGGCTCCAGCCGAAAGCGAAGCCTCGTCTTACTCCGAGCAGGAAGTGGTAAGATCTTTATTTTGTACTGTCCCTGACTTTTGATACAGTTGGATTGAAGGTGCAAGTCACACATCAACGTTCCTGTTTGTCACTAATTCTTCATTTTTTTCTGCCCTCTCCTGTACTTTGGATGACAAGGAGGAGCCCGACACCTCTGCAGAGTCGATTCTCCTCCCGACACAGGAGAGAATTCACATTGCCAAGAGGAAAAAGAAGACAGAGGGGGATGAGGAAGAAGAGGAGGAAGAGGAAGAAGAAGAAGAAGAGGAAGAAGAAGAAGAGGAAGAGGAAGAGGAGGAGGAGGAGGAAAAGGTAGAGAAGGAACAGGTGGAGGAGGAACAGACTGAGCAGCAACAGGTGGAGGAGGAACAGACTGAGCAGGAACAGGTGGAGGAGGAACAGACATAGCAGCAACAGGTGGAGGAGGAACAGACTGAGCAGCAACAGGTGGAGGAGGAACAGACTGAGCAGCAACAGGTAGACCCACAGTTCGAACTGCGGCTGGACATCCTCCCGGAGGGCAACATTTCCAAAGAAAACATCCCAGAGGGAGCTGTCCAGCCGGATGTCAACATTGCTGGTGAGCTCAACAGTCGGTTGTCATCCCCCACGACTGCTGTAAAAAGCCCTTCCCCTCCCAAAGCCAAACCTTCTCCTCGCACCAGCACTCCAAAGATTGAAACGAAACAGAAGAGGAGCGAAACATGGTCCAGGGGGGTTGCCAGAGGAAATGTGATGAGGCACCTGCGGCTACCTGAATCCATGAGTGAGTCAACCTCAGTATGTGCATGGCTGTTCTTTTTCACTAAAGCTACTGACATTACTGACATAAATTTCAACCTCTTTTCAGATGCATACGTCGAAAAGTTCAGGATATTTTACCACAGGCCGACAGGCACCCCAAAGATGGCAGAGTCCAACATGGCCAGGATCAGCCGTGTCAAGAGTTTCCTATACTACATGTCCATAGGCCAGAAAAAAATCACGGACTGGAAATTTCTGATGAACCTCCCCCGACTGAATCAGTGAGTAACAGGGTCCAACCGGCTCGGCTCCACGTGCTTATTATTATTTTTTTGGTATTTCACGTATTTTCAATAACAGTTTGCTTCAACACCACAGGTGGCTCCAAGACATCACAAACAGTGGAAAGACCATCACCACTGTCAGGTACTACATACACAACATGGTAGAGTTCATCGATTTCATGCTTGGGTCAAATCCGCCACACTCTAAGCTGACCCACGAGCAAGCAAGAGAGATCAGGATGTTCCTGGAAAAGGCGAGGAGGAACACGAGTCGGGACATAACAATCCATTCGAACAGGGTCAAGCACGACAAAATGATGAAAATACCCTCCATCGCCTCCATCGAAACCTGCTTGAAACTGGCACCTGCAAAGATAGAAGAGCTGCTTGGTAATTGTTTACCTCTCTCTTTTTCATGCCACAATACCCATCAGATGCTATCTCTCATCCAAAACCAATGTCTTCTATCTTACAGGAGAGCTGGAGCTGAATAGCTCAAGAACAGGGACAAGGT